AATTATATATATATATATATATATATATATATATATATATATTAATCTGGAGAACTCTCCACCCAAAGGACAAGGCTGAAATTCAATACTGGATGCTCGTGATCTTTGGGACTCTCAGGCGGCACTTCAAAAAACAGGTCTGATCCTGCTCTGGACGTCACTGGAGCTCGTAAGCTTTAACCACATCCCAGCTAAGCCTGGGGACACTGAGCCCGAGTGAACCATGTTCCGCCCCTCAGTTGTTGAGGTGGCTGCCTTGAACTGTGGCCTCAAGGTTGTTGGTGCTTCTCGCGGTGGCCATCCTCGAACTCGATAATGGACGCCCCAGTTTGGGGGCTCTTGGTCTACATTACTACCCTCACCTATGGTCATCGTCTCTGGGTAGTGATCGAAAGAACGAGATTGCGGATACAGGTGGTTGAAATGAGTTTCCTCTGCAAGATAGCTGGACTCTTGGAGACAGGGTGAGGGGTTCAGTTTTCCAAAAGAGACTCAGTAGAACCGCTGCTCCTCCACATCAAGAGGAGCCAATTGAGGCGGTTCAGGCATCTGGTAAGGATGCTCCCTAGGTGCCTCTCTAGGTAGGTGCTTCGGGCATGTCCGACTGGGAGGAAACCCAAGGGAATATCCAGGACACGCTGGAGAGACTACATTTGCTAGTTGGCCTGGGAACGCCTTGGAGTTCTCCCAGAAGAGCTGGAAGAGGTGGCTGTGGAAAGAGATGTCTGGGCCTCTGTTCTAGCTGCTGATCCCGTGACCCGACTTTGGAACAAGCGGAAGATAATGGATGGATGGATGCTGCTATCCAGATAATATCTTTTTCAAGCAAGGCCTTGTATATTTTAGTAAGATATTGTTAAACATGCTGCATCAGTTACAACAGCATGGCTTCATAGTAAAAGATTTTAAATGTTTGATATGTTTACTCTGTTCTATTGCAAATAAAATATGGGTTTATGAAAATTGAAAACTGTTTAATTCTGTATTTAATTAGATTCTGGGCAGCACAGCAGCTTGGTGGATAGCACTGGTGCCTCACAGCAAGAAGTTCCTGGGTTCAGTCCCCAGTTTGGACCTGGTGTCTTTCTGTGTGGGGTTTGCATGTTTGTGTGGGCTTTCCCTGGGTACTCTGGTTTCCACCCACAGTACAAAAATATGCATGTTAGGCTGCCTTCAGGCCCAGGTCTCCCTTGCAAAATAGAACTACAATCTCAGTAGAATTTGTCTGGTTTATATTAATAATATTTTTACACAACATCCCAACTTTTACAGAATTGGGGTAGTAGAGGTTAGATTATTAGAAAAAAGCAAGATAAATACAGTAAGCACTTTCCCAGCTCAGCAGCCAGATTTGATCAATCACCCTATCAGCTGTTAAAAGGTTATTGCAGTCAGGAGGGTGTGACACAGTGTGGCATTAATAACGCTGTACATCGATAAACATTGCCAGAGGTGCAGGTCAGTCCACGAGGATATTAGAATAGGAGATTAAAGCAAGGCAAGCTGACAGATGGACTGACGAGGTGCGGTGTGACAGTGTTACAGCTGCTTCCTGTGAGTGAGGGCGATTCTTCCTGACAGCAGCAGGGCCTCCTGGGCACAACCTGGGTCCCTGTTTGGGAGCTGGACTGTCCACTCAGTTCAAGGGAGAAAGAAGAGGTCAGATGGAGACGATGGGTTACAGTCACTGTTACAAACAATGAGCAACATTTTCATCAAAATGCATGAATCCCTTCCACCCCACCCTTTCTGGGTACTGCGTCGTTCAGGTTGCTTCTGAGAAAGGAAACCCACCGAATTCTGATTGGCTGTTTGGAAAAATTATGCGGAAGACATAGTCCGTGGCCTCGTCCTCTTCTTTGTCCGAGACCGAGTCTGAGGAGCTGGATCCTGGAGGTACCCTCTTCTTCAGTTTAGGAAATACCTTTCCCTGAAAATAAATTAAAGCCAACAACAAAATTGTTCAGCTGTTAGAGCCCACTGGAGACACCCTTTTTGTTCAGACAACAAGTGCCTGCATGAGTCATCTCATTAATGGAGTTTGAACACATGTGGCTGTTTATTATTATTTGATTAAGCTCACAAAAGCACCTATTCCTATGGGTAGGCCTGTATTGTGTGTCTGTGCTGAGAGTGCATTAAACACACAGTCATCTGTATCACTAAAGGCAACACAGCAACAAGGATACTGATCTGTTTCCGAAACCAAATGTCTTTTTCATTGATTCCTCATTAGATGAGTCGGTTTAACGTTTAAGTTATGTTTCCTGGAGGAATGCCAATTTTGAGCTCATATTGTGTTCTGGATTAGAGTGAGATAAAGGCGTGCTGACCTTTCCCCTCTGGGACCAAAGTGGAGGGTCCAGCTGACCATGGGGGAGCAGGCCGTTCTCCAGGCAGGACAGGAACTGGAGCAGATGGCCTCCTCTGGGGAAGCGGAGTGGAGGTCTCTGGATGCCATCCTGGCTGACCAGCACCACCGTCCCCCCACTGTCCACTACAGGAAAGACATATGCATAGATAATGATTTATCAGATTATATCTACTGGCTACATGTGATCTGTGTCCCAACTAACTTCAAAGTAGGGCATTAAAGTGCACAACTGTACCTTGTTGATGACAGTGCAAATAAACTATCTCCTCTAAAGGGATTGTCATGGCGTAGTCCCAGTACACGCTGCAAAACAATAAATTAAATTAGTTGTCAATTAAATCACTTTGCGCTAATCATTAGATATGCACACATCTACAACAGATTAACTATTGGAGTCAACCTCAACACGGCTGCTACAGCTAACTGACTTTAGCACACACAAAATTGACTTTAATATAGAAAATTTTAACGTAACTGATATAAAATTTAGTGTTGTAGTAGCATTCCTTCAAGGAGTGATAGGACTTTATAATTAGATAAGTTTAGATTAAGCAAAAATATCAAAAGAGACCCCAGTTTCACAATAAATGACAAAAAGATGTTATAAACAAAAATACTGTAATCATTTGTAGTAAAAGAAACCCTGCACAGATATAGCATGACATAGTTTTTGCAGGTTTTAGAGAAATGGTGTTGCAGCCAAGAAACCATCTGCTGAAAATAGGCTTCTTCAGATCAGCAGCAGTTATCCAACCCTCTGAGCAACAGACCAACGCGCTGCATTATTCAGTAATACCCAGGTGCCACAAAAACCGCACAGCCAATCAGAATTAAAAAATGATATCCAGCAGAGGCACTTTACAAGTTCTGAGCTCTTGGTGTGAGGAGGAATACCGAAAATATCAAAAGCAGGTTTGTTCTTCACATTTATTCTAATCATGATCATCTATTCTCTGGTGGGTCATCACTGACCAATAATGTCTGCGTGTGTGAGAAATTTTAATGAAACTCAGAAAATATTCAGTGGATGTACATCTGCAATCGATTAACTTTTGGAGTCGCCCTAATTCAAGAAGGCCAGCACAGCCCACTGACCTTAAAAACACCAAACAGACATAACTTAGTAAATTTTACAGAAGTTGAGCTAAAACTTACTGAAGTTGTAGCATATTATTCTGAGGGTGGAGAGATTGTGCAAGATTTTTCTTTGAAATTTTGCCATTAAGTATTTGGAGTCAACCTTGCTTTCTGTAAGCAAAATATCTCTTAAGTCATTGAATATGTTTTAATAAGACTTGCAGAAAACTATCACTGGATGCATATTCATTTCAAGATGGCTGCCACACTTTATCAGCATTAAATGACACAAAAATAGCTACCGCTCAGTAAACAGCAGATTTTAGCAAACATTTGACATGATAGTAGCTGGGTGTTTCACAGCACATTCTCTGAGTGTGACGTATCGCAATAATGCACAAGACTGAGCACAATGTTATTTCCAAGATTAGACAAAAGCAACTAGAACTGTGTTATTTCTAAATGAAGTATGATTTTAGTCTAAAACTCTGGCAGTATTCCTCCCAGGAAGCCTAGGTGTTTGATATTGGACCTGCGTTCGTAGTCTAAGTCTCCAACAGAACCGTTCATGAGCTGATTGGGTGTCCACTTTAGCGTCATGATGTCAGCAGTCTGATGCAAGGAGAGGTAACCTGGGATAGCCTCCATGTCATCCCTCTGAAACACAAACCAGCACAGATGTTTAGAACAACATCATGTGAGCTACGTGAGGACAAAGTGTAAGAAAAGCGTTCAGAAGCTGAACTCAGTAAGATGTATTTACCCCTTTTACACAAAAAGCAATTGTTTTCAATGCGACAGAGACAAAGTGTAATAATAAAAACACAACCATAGCACAGGCTCCTGAAGCCATTATTACCGTATTTTCTGGACTATAAGTCACACTTTTTTTCATAGTTTGGCCAGTCCTGCGACTTATACATGTTTTGTTCCACTATTCATGACACAATTTTTGACTGACACGTTAAATGTTCATTCATACTGACATGAACCAAAGAGTAAACATTACCATCTGCAGCCGCAAGAGGGCCCTCTAACCCTCCAAACATTCACTTAGAGACAACTGAGGAAAACGTAACACAAGTAAAATGCCCCCAAACACGATGTAGAATGAGATCGGTGAATTTACCGGTAACTTGCTTATTGACTCGTTGGCTTGTTTTGTTAATTAAGCCTGTTCAGGATCCCAGGTCTGTTCTCTGTGTTATTGTTATTTCACATTAAATGTCTGTTCTTGCACTTTGTGAAATACACTTCTAAGTAAATGCAACTTATACTCTGAAACGACATATATATGTGTTTTCCTCTTCACGAGGCATTTTTTGACTGATGCGACCTATACTCCGGAGCGACTTATAGTCTGGAGAATACGGTATTTAATTTGCTGTAATACATTATGTCAGAGTCTTTATGAGCAGGTTTATTTTTAGGTGTTGAAGAAGGATGAGAGTGTTACCGGTTGTACGAGCACGTTGTTCTTGCCAAAAAGCAGCGTCGCCCTGCTGTTCTGATGCAGAGACTCCACGTAGTCTCGAGCTGACGGGGAAGGGGAAGGCCGCTCATCCATGCTGCTGCTGGAGTGTCGCTTCTGGATCTGCGTGGACACAAACAACTTCGAATCGAAGAGCGCAGCGATGACTAACACATGCTTGTTCATGTGCACCAGTGCAGCTGCCCCCAAAGACCAGTGTTGTTTTACCGAGAACGTTCACATCCACCAAGCACAGCAATAACACAACCGAAAAAAAGTGCCACGAACTGTAAGAAGGGCTGAGGTGACCCAGTTCATAGCAACTGAACGAGTAAGAAGGGCCCAGAAACACTCTGTTCCCTCTCCTGTCACACTCTGTTCTTCACTTGATGCATCCCAAAACCAAATGTCTGCCTGTGCGTGTGAGCTGATCCATCAGAGTTAAAATCAGATAGAGCCTGAGATTTCATACTTACACACAACGCCGGTCTCTTGGTGGGAGAATCCTGCCTGCAGAGGCCACTGTGGATGCGATGTCTCTGAACCAGCTCGTCAGCAGACGGGTCTGTCCAGAAGTGATCTGCCGTTTTCATCTTGGTGTACTCCAACGCACAAGGTCCGACTGTCACAAAGAAACCGCACAGTGAGACGGGACTAACACAGTCAGCTCTGCAAGATCTTAAACTTTAAGGAATGTGCTCTGAAAATAAGATTTGACAGAAATGTCATTCTTTATGAGTGTGCAATCAGTCAGGCTTGAGCAGATTGGACAAATGGCACAAAAACTGCAGTGAAAGAAATAAAAGATGCTATAATGTTCTACTCTGCTTGTTTTCTGATCATAATGAATTTAGCACAAACCGTAAGCTATTTTGTTTTTGGTTCGTTTTTTCTTTGTGGCAATGCTTCTTGGCAACAAACTTATTCTGTTGGAAAGTCTGTTTAATTTCTTATACATGTTGCCATGATGTTAGGAAAACACAGCTGTGGGTTTAGCAGTAGTGTTGAGTTTTTGGGTTGCTCCCACGAAAACGTGCCAAGTCTTCTCTGCTAATGCCAAATAGCTTATTTTGCTATTGACTCGTATTTAGCATTTTTTTAATTGAACGATTGAAGTCTGACAAACAAACCATATAGGCAGTTTAAGAATTTATTCATTTAACAGCAATAATCCTGAGGTTTTTCAAGCCCAGGTTAAGTCAGGATGTGCATTTGGCCTAAAAACAATTGCCAAATCTTTCACGTGAGCTCCATCTCTGTAACAACCCTTCAGAAAGAGAGCAGCAGAAAGAACAACAGCATTCATTTAACAGCAAGGGCCTTGCTATCATGTGGAAGAACCATACACAGACACAACATGGAACCTCCTTATGCTGCTCAGCAGCTTGGTCACACACTACTGTGGGATGGCATCCCATTCTTTAACCAGAATTTTCCTCAAGTCATACAATGTGGTTGTGTTGGTCAGACACAACGTACTAAAGACAATCTTCCAGGTCTTCAGTGAGGTTGAGGTCATTCCATGTGCTCTGCTGTCAGATTCTGGAGGTAGTCTCTAAAATCCTCTGCTCTGTGGGTGTGAGTGTTGCCATTGTAGGAAGCATAGTTTCAAAGAAATGAACTACAAATGTCCTCACTCCCTTATTTTTTGTCCTATGTTTATAATATTGGATCATGACAAAGAACAAGCCAGTTTCTTACAGTGTCACATATTATTACCCAACAATGATGCCAGAATAGGTCCATCTACAAGGTCCATTAGGAAAGCTTCTTTCTCATAGTATTTACTGGAAGAAAATGTGAAAAAGGGGATTCTGAGAAGGCATATAAACCTTGTAACACTGCTAAAGAACGTGTTCTCCGTCTTCTATACACACCTGCTGTTCTCCACCAGGTAGAGGACGATCTTATCCAGCACTTTCTCGAACAGAGCAGTCCTGATCCACAGGTTCTTGACTCCCGGTGGGTTGAGGCTGGGCAGCCGAGGCATCTTCCGAAGACCGTCTTGACTTTGCAAGCTTTGGCTTCGTCTGCAGAGGAGAACAGCAGAGACATTAAGCATGAATTATTTAGAAGCTTAGAAAAGGGGGAAATCTGAACAGAGACAACTGATCAGACAAGCATCCGTTTGTTTTTATCATTTGGAGAATCAAACGGGCTTTGATGCAGATCTTTTTGAAGTCTGCAGTGACGTGTGCGACTCTCACTTGGTCTCCATGATCTGTTCCAGCTCCTGGGCCTTCCTGCAAAGCTCTTCAGCTGGGGGGAAGCTTTTCCCCACCTTCATGAAGAGCGCTGCTATCTTGTTGCTACGCAAAAACCCCGCAGCTCGCCGTCTCAGCCCATGCAGAACACAAGCCTCCACCGCAGCTGTGTGGACAGAAGACAGAGGTCGGAAAATCTACTTTTTATTTGACGAGCGAAAGGATAAAGGACACAAGAACTCATCAGAAACAGTGTCATCGTGAGAAAACAATAGATTTGAGTAAAATTGCAAGTTCTCTTGAATGTTTTTGTGCTCGGAGGAACCGTAAAAACCATTCGGCTACATCCTCATGACTTTTGTTTTACTAGTGTAAAATCAAAGATTTCACGTTCTCCAAATGAATTCTCAGGATTACATCTGTTTAATTTATTGACACCTTCATCTAATCTCTGTAAACTGTTCTGGACACACAGGTTGATGACATGTTGACACGCTTTCTTTACTGATGTGGACGCTGCTTCCATTTTGGGCCTACGTGGCAGCGCCTGGTTGTCGTGTTGACATTTGAATTTTCTGTCAGGGATAATCCTGTGGCTCTGTTCACATGGGGTCAGGAGGAAGGCTGGGGTTGCCATGGCAACCCCTGTTGATAGAGAGATGGAGCTCTGGGAGAGATGAGCAGAGGGAGAGGCGGCGAAAACTTGTGACCGTCGTGATCCCTTTTTTCCAACTGTCCTCGCTCAAACAAACAACTTCCTTCTCTCCTTCACTCTGGCGCTCTTTTTTTTCATATTTTATTTCCTGACTGTTCTTTTTCCTCACTCCGACCTTCCTGCACCGCTCGCTCCTCATCTCACGTCATTACAGGAGCAAAAAGGTAAATGTCAGAACAAGAAGCCCCATTAAAATGTCTCGTTGTTCATGCCTGTTACCCTTATCAACTTTTATAAGTGGCCTCAAATGAAAAAAGTGCATTAACAAGATCCCAGCTTTTTCTGCCTTTTACAAAAAAATTAACTAATTTCTACCAAACTAAGGAAAATTGTCAGTCACAACTGCATCAACATAACAAAGATGTTTAGTCAAGTCCACAAACCAGCATGGAAGATGTTCATTTCTCATTTACAGCAATGTGAGCTTATTCACAAAAAAAACCCCAAAAAACAAAGAAAGCAGAAGCCGAAACCAGCAGCCTAACATGCCACAAAGCACAAGTGCATCATGGACCAGTCCTCTGTGGAGTCCCACCTGCTGAAAACAGTCAGTGCAGAAAATTGCTCCCAATCATCCGGTATCTGTGGCAACCGAGGCTGTGAGAGTCTGTCGCCTGTGACACGCTGCTGACCAACTCATCATCCTGATAAGCCACCAAATCAACAACAACACCGGCTCTTACTACAGACAAGCAGAGCTAACCAGGTGAAAACAAAACTGTTGATGACATTTTTTATCTAAACCTGACATTATAGCAGAACAGCTGCCACTAGACAATATAGGAAAAGAATGTGTAAAAAATGTTTTTCCTGCCAGTAAACTAATCCCTAAATTCTCGTTTGTCAGTTTTAAAAGAAACCAGGTTTGAGTAGACGTGACTTTTATCTGCTTCACTGGCAGGAAGTGATTAAATCTGTTCACAGATACCAAAACAACAAGCAACATTACAGAGATTTGTTTTTAAATGTAATTACTGGTAGACTGTAAGAAAAAAAACTGGTTAAAATTATCTGCTATTTCTTGAAAGATCATCTAAGCTCAGCTTTTGTAAAGAAATGATGGGAGATGTTTTGGTCAGAACATAAAAACAATATCAGAATCAGAATGCTTTTATTATCCTTACACAATGAAGTACATCAAAATTACTTTCCGTACAGCCGTCCTAAAGATGGACAGAAGTGTACAGGGGGCTGCACCTTCTAAGATGTGCTGCCCCTAGTGCTTAGATAAGAAAAAGGGAAGAAAACATGAGGAGAGAGGTATAAAAAAGGATCTCTCACACTGTGTCCTTGACAGATCACAGCAAAGCAACTTAAACAGACATAATACATATGCGTGTTAAGAGCAACATGCATTTGGAGTGGGTAGGGGTGGAAGTCCCAGCACAGCCACCAGGTGAGTGACGCAGCCCATGGCGCCTTCGCATCTCTTAGAATGCTGCACCAGGAAGGCAAGTGAGTAGGGGGTGGGGGGTCCCAGCATGGCTGCCAGGTGAGTGACGCAGCCCTTGGCGCTCCTTCGCATCTCCTAGGTTGCTGCTCCGTGGGAGGAGAGGGAGGCCAGTGGAGGCACTGAGTTTGAGGGAAGGTCATAGCCAGAAACCCCCCCCCCCCCCCCCCCCAGCCATAGTCCTGATAAGAGGTGTTTGTTTATCAGCCAGCTCAGTTGAGCTCTGTCAGGTCCACGACCTTGGGGAAGGGACGGGGTGGGGAGGGGGACAGAGCGTCTTTGTTTCCATAACATCCAAGGAACAATTCAGAAGGTATGCAAAAATGGGGCTCTGAAAATGGTTCACAAGACAAACAGCAAACCATGGACGTAACGAGGGACGGAGCAGAGGACGTGTCTGCCTTCCACCGAGAGCAAGCAAGAAAAAAAAAAAAAAGTACAATCTTGTAGAATATTGTGTCATACTCATAGTATGTGTTGTGAATGACTCTCAGCTTCTACCACACTACATTTTAGGTAAATATATATCAAACTGACTGAGTTATAGCCATTTTTGTGATTTTTTTTATTTATTTTTTAATAATTTGGTTGTGGCAGCCAGCTAAAACTTGGTTGACTCCAACAGTTATTCAGTTGCAGATATACATTGATTCATTTATATTTTATTTAAATTCATCCTAAGGTTTATGGGACAACATCATCACTCACCTTCACTTTTTTGGCAGCAGATGATTAAACGAGAGAAAGAAAGGAAAGTGCTTACTTCTGAAAACTAAAGACTTATCAGTCGACAACAAAAAGACAGAGCCTCCAGCCAGATACAATACAGAGATTTTTTTTTGCCTTTTCCTTTCTCTTATTGCTTCTTCTTTCAGGGGTGCTCTGAATGTCGACATTTTATTGAGTGATCCCCGGCAGCTCGTAAAAGCAGCCATGATGGTGGAGGTTAATGGCTCCCCAGTGAGCTAACTGAGCTCTTCTCCTCACACTCCGTTTTCTGACACCGCACAGCTGGAGAAAGCTGTGACGATGATCACAGGAGGAGGATGAAGAGGAGGAGGCTGGCGGACAACACAGCAGACAGAGGAGAGGGTCATTCCGAACTGATGGGGTGTATCATATTAGCCGAGAAAACACTCGCCTCGATCCAACAAATGATCTCCGCGCCAAAGGCCAAGAAATCTGTTGACACTGCAACATGAAAGTACTGAAGGGACACACAAAGCACATCAAAACCCCCGACAAAATGATGGGAAGGAAGAAAATAGACTTTCAGCCACACTGTAAAAAAAAAACCAAAAAAACAGCACGCTGTAAGAAATATTTTCTTCAACCTCTGAGAATGAAATAAAACCACAAATGGAGAGGAGTGCTGAGTTGACCATTGGAACAGAAGAATGTTTTCGGACTTGCTTTACATGTGGTGAAACTCAAACTAAACTTACTATGTAACTGTGCAATTACATTTTTGCAGCATTAAAAAGCTGGCTGTCATATCGAGACCTGAAACTTTATTTATTGTGTGGCTCGTTGCACATTGTTACAATGAGGCAACACGACGGCGGCTCGTTCCTTTATGTTATTTTCTTTTCGTGTTAACCTGAGTCAGCGTCAAGAAAGGCGTGTGCTGCTCTTCAAATGTTTACAGCAAAACACTGCTTTGCCTCATGTTGCTGCTTTTATAAAAAGAAAAGTCTTATCGTTGGACTTGGGAACACGGCTCGTTTGCACACATGGATTTAATCAAACAGAGCTCAAGTGAAAGTTGTTTTATTTTCACACTGAAAGCCAGAAATAAATGTGATTCCTGATTACAGCTCTGGTCTGACGAGTGTGAGCGCCTGCATGTGGGCAGTGTGTTTCTCATTGTGTTCAAACTGTGATTTAACAGTTTGATTTGGAGGTAGGAGCAATAATAACACTTAGTGAATTATTGAACTTGAAATGTGTTTTTAATTTTATTTAGAACCAATTTATTCCAACAGCTCATTTATTTTGTTGTTTAATAATATCATCTTGTTGGGTTTCGTGTAGTTTTCTATTTTTGTTTATGCATTCATTTATATATATATATATATATATATATATATATATATATATATATATATAGTTATTGATTCTTTCCCAGTGTCTCAGGTTATTGTTTCCCCTCAGCTTCCCTTGTACAGCATATTCTCACATCTGTTCCTCATCCAGTAATCACCCACATAAATATAAAATATCCTGTTGTTCAAGTTCTTTCTCAGATCCCACTGTTGCTTCCTGATTCTCCCACAGAGGTCCAGCTTTATTTTGTTGAGTACAGTTTGTTTATGATGTCCATGAGTGAGCCGCCACTGTTGGGAGACAATCTGGTGACTCAAAATTGCATGAAAAATATGTAAATTTGACCAACAAGCTGTTTATATATATATATATATATATTTATTTATTTATTTTTAACAAGCACATAGATGTTTAATAACCTGTTGAAATACACCAAAATGCAGGAAATCATATCTACTTTATTCAAGATTTTCTGGGGGAGGATCCCCCCCGCCCTGCCCACTATTTGCGTTCCAGCATTGATCAGTTTACAAATTAAGCCCTATTACTCGTTATGACTACTGCTGTTATTATTCTGTTCAGTTTTATGTACAGTAATCCATTTGTGGACTTGCTCTATCGTGGTTTTTCAATAAGACTGGACATGACACACAATGGCTGATTGATGGATGAGCCGCACGATCGGCATGAAATTTTTATTTAAAATACATTATTTAAAATTATTTAGCACCTGTGTGCAGCCCACAGCTGTGGGAGAGGCTTCTTCCTGCAGCTGATCAGCTGATCTCAATGCAGAGCGGAGAAATGGGCGTGGCCAAGACTGCAGCTAGAGGCAGAGAGCTGAAATCATGACATACTGTGCTCTTTTAGAGAGTTTAGAGTTTAGAAACATTGTTTAGAATATTGCAAAAGTATGGGAAGGGTTTTAAATGCTTTTATATATACAGTATATATATACTAAAATAAACTACTAGTTACTACTTGTACTACTATTCCTACTTCGCAGTTTTTCACTTATCACGGGGCTTCAGGGTACTGATCCCCCGCGATAAATGAGGGACAACTGTAAAGAATTTTCTGTAATAATTTGAAGAAGTGGCAATACAATTATTATGTTCATTATGTGAATAGATAAAGTTTTCAAGTGTTTTTGATACTGTTAATTTTCCTCAAAACTGTAATTTTTGGAAAATGAAATAAAAATTTTTGTTAAAAAAGTATGTCTTGAATGAAAAATACCCCATGTTTAAAAATTATAAAACTTGTATTAACACTATTAAAGTGCAGGTCTTAAGTATTTATGTTACATAAATATTTCCATTGCATTAAAGACACAAACTGAAGAAAATTATTTAACAACTATGAGGGTTATGAGGGGGTCCTTGAAATCTTTTCTCCACTTTAAGGGGTCCCTGAACCCAAAATGTTTGAGAACCCCGGTGTAGATAAATGAAAATATGTCAGAAATTTAAATTATTAAGACTAACCAATGCTGACCAAATCATTACGGCAGTCCAAGATTCAAAGGTAATACAAAGGGAACATAAAAACTTTCTGTTACAGAAGAATAAAAGCTGTTATCGTTTATTTTCAAGTACTTACCGCAGAAAGACACAATGTGGCTGCTGTCTTCGTGAACAAACTTCCTGGTGACGGCTTCCTCCATAATCTGCTTCACCTGTGAACGACACGATAGATGCTGGATGACTCATTCATTAGTATGCCACAAGTGGCACAAACAGTCGGTGAGGTGCTTGTTGGAAACAATTTGACTGAGTGGCAAACATACTCAGAGGATAATCAGGACAATTCAAGAGTCTAACGCACGTGTGTGAGATAATATACCTGGATTCAGAGAGAGGCCAGCTTTGAAGAGTTAAGTGGAGAAAACACAGCTAGGATCAAAGATCATGAGAGTGAGTCATCAGCTCTCATTCTGAGGGCTTCTGGGAAATGGAGGTTCATTCGTGGTGGGGGTGAGGGGTGGACAAGGGACCCTCCCTGTCTCTGAACAATTTCCGGTTCTAATCAGAAACTACAGATGCCGTTCCAAACCCTGTCCACATCTACTTCTTACTTTTTTTGAGATCAGATGATTACAAGGCAACTCTGATTAGTTTGTTGTTGTCACGACGATGTGTCCTTGTCCCCGCTGACTTGAGACATGCTACACAGCAATGATTAAAACAAGCGGTGAATCAATCCCTCTGGTGACTATGGAGACGTTCCCCTGTGTGGGCATCGTTCTGCGAGCCGGAGGGGGAGAATATGAGCCTTCAGCCAGAGCCGCACAGATAGCTGTAATTTCCTGCCAAAATGAGTCTGTCCACAATGGACATATTACACAGCCAAGTTCATCATCTGCACACACAAACCCTCTTGCTAACACACACACACGTTGGCCAGACAGATGGCTGTCCATGAGAGGATGTCTACAGACAAAACAAGCTTCCTTTAGCTCCATCGTCCACATATGTAAACAAACCTGACTGCCAAAGTTTAAACACTGTTATCTGCAAACAGCCGGAGAAAACATCATCACTCCTATGGTCAAAATTTTAATTAAAAGGTCTAACATTCCTTGAAGGAATGCTCATCACCTTTCATGACAGATTTTAATGCACAATGTCAAGCACGATCTGTCAGCCATGTTTGAGTTTGCTAAGGCTGATTAGCTGTGGCAGCCATCTTGAATCAAACTGGCTCCAAAAGCACACTGAGCTGTGACTGAGACTAGACGGCGACTCAAACTTGACTCAGTGTTGTGAGAAAATACACTATATTCCCATTGAAGTTGGAGTGTTTGTAACCAAGTGACCAGTAGGCCTGTTATGAGAACAAATTTTGCCGGGCAATTAATTGTCTATTGCAATAATCAATAATATTGTTTGAAATTTGACAATAATTAGTAATTATTGTCAAATTTAAGAAGAATGTTGGTGAATTTTTGTGTGTGGTACCTTTTTTGACCACTGGATGGCAGTATGAGATTGTTTGAACCGAAGAATGGATAGTGAGGGAGCAAGTAGCGTGTCCATTTAAGAAAAATGGGAGGAAGGCCCCTTGACATGGCATGGGCTCTCTCCTTCCTTTTTTTTGGGAGGGGGGGGGGGGGGGGGTTCTCAAAATGGCATATACTCAGTGTGGTTAGAGCTCTTTAACATAACATTTTTCACACAAAGCTTTTAATAAAAAATCAGTAAACAAGTTCTCAGCTTCTTTTTGCAGAGAAAAACAACTTTTTACGCGAAGGCACGGATTTCAACCGTGAATTTTGGAGCTTCGACAAGACAGAGTTTTTTTTCCTGAGGTTGGCCTGTTAGCTTAGCTCGTAGCTTAGCTTCTCAGCTTAGCTGCTTTTAACGATCCAAAAGCATGATTTTGGATCGTTAAATGGATTTTAAAGAGAAAGGGAGGTGTCAGTGAAGAGCATCGGAGGTGAGCTTTTTGTCATCCAGGTTGACAAGAAGAAGCGATAAAGCCGAAAAATGAAAATGAGGTTGATCATTTTCATTTATCACATGATTAATTGGGCAGCACCGTAGCGCAACTGGTAGAGCTGCTGCCTCTCAGCGAACAGGTCACTGGCTCAAATCCCAGTCCGGGGGCCTCCCTGGGTGGAGTCTGTATGTTCTCTCCGTGCATGCGTGAGCTTTTTCCGGGTACTCCAGTTTCCTCCCACAGACCAAAAACATGCATGTAAGGCTGATTGGTAACTCTAAATTGATTTATTGTTTATGGCGACAGGCCTAGTGACCAGTTTTTCAAGAGTTATCTGTGTGGTTTTTGGACCTGGATGTATTTGCTGCCAGAAAAGAGCTCCAGTCTGTCAAAATCCAACTCCTGCACTTTAGAGATGAGCTCAAGATACCCATAAAAGCTCTGTAACAATTTAGAGAGAAAATTTGTCACACAAATTGATTGAACATGTTTAAAATTCAAGCGACTTCTGCAACTCGTCCAAAAAAATTGAGAACCCCCGCAAATGCTGCAAGATGCTTTGGAGACTGCCTCAGAAAGGCTGTGCACCAACTAGTTGATTAAAGTTTAGCTACTTTAAAACGCACCCACCCCACACACACTATTTCCTGTTTTTTTGGCAGTGGGTGATAAATATACTCTCAACTAAAGGACATTTTTCTGCTCTGTTTTATTCTAATCTATACACTGATATTGTCTTTGCATCTTATGGACCATCAGTATTAGTTTTGTATGGTTTTACTGCTCGATCATAAAGATCTGGCCTAACATTTAACTGTTGAAGGTGTTGCATTTGTGCCAGCTGACTGACCCAAATCGTTCACACTTTTAATATTAAACGTGCTCAGGATGGTGAGTGGATGAAAACTCAGAATGTACCGAAGCTGCTGCCTAGGTTGCTGTGATCTGCAGGTGCTGAAGGACAAGCTGTGGCAACCGTTTGAAGAGAACGGCCAACAAGAACATTCCAGCAATCACCTGACAAAAGCCGTAACCTCATAGATTTGTTACATCATCTGAGTCATGAAATGTCTTCATTGATTTGTTCTGAAGTAACTTCAGCAGAAGTTAGAGTCAGGAACACAAAATAAAGATATGAAAGTGTCAGCTGTGTAATAGCAGAAACAACAGAGCTCGTTGTGAGAATGTTTAAGAAGCATTCACACTGTGATCCATTTTTCTTTCATACATTTTTCAGCATTTTTCTCGTTCCAAAATTTTTTGTGCTATTTCAACAAATCACAAATCAAAACGTTCAGCTCTTTTAGGACAATCCTGCTATGACTTTTGGTGTTGGCACAACTTTAGCTTTTTGAAATATTTAGCCTTTTCTGCCATATTTTCCTCATAGGAAATGAATGAGCTCATTTTACATCCTTCAGATCTTTAGATCTGTTTACATCCTTTTACTGCTCCTTTCACATTTTACTCTGGTTCAGCTTCTTTCAGCTTTCTTTTGCAAAATTAAACTTTTTTCAGCTACTTTTAGCAATAACAAAAAAATCAAGTGTGTATGCCTCTTTTATGATTGTCCATTGTTGGAGTAGTTGTCCATTGTTGTCATCATTCTTTGTTAAAGAAATCAGGTCTCTCTTGTAAATGAGTCCTCGTGGCTCAGTGGGATTAACCTGTCTAAATAAAGGTTGAATGAATTTCAGCTGGTTTTTTCAGCTGTTTCGTGCTCCTTTCAGATACTTTCTGCCAACTACATTATATTCCTCTTCTAACTTCATACTGCTCCTTTCAGCTTACTTATACATGTTTCAGCTATTTATGCTATTTCAGCTACAATTTAGCTGTTGTATACTAATTTTAGCTTTTTCATCTAATTCCACATTTTTTGCACTCATTCCAACTTTTTTCAGCCTAACTCTGCAAAAATGTGCTCTCTCCACTTCCTTCTTGTAATTTAAGCTTCTTTCTGCCTTTTTAGCTACTTTTCAGCTGTTTTTTTGTTGCTAATTTAAGCTTTTTCAGATAAATTCCACTTTTTTGTGCTCATTTCTGCTTCTTTCAGCAAATATGTTCTTTCTGCTTTCTACTGCTAATTTAAGCTTGTTTCAGCTATGCGTTTTTAGCATTTTTAGCTAATTTCAGATGTTTTCAGATAAATTCAAGTTTTTCACATGGTAATTTCTGCTTCCTAATGAACTTATTTCTGCACATTTCAGCTTGTTGTGCTCCTTTTAGTTTTTTCTGCTAGTTTCAGCTTTTTTTGCTATTTCAGCTACCTTTTAGCTGTTTTAATGTTAAATTTAGCTCATTTCAGCTACTTCCGTTCACGTCTTGTAGTTTAAGCTTATTTCTGCCTTTTCAGCTGCTATTCAGCTACTTTAGCTAATTTCAACTTTTTTTTTTAGCTTATTTTCTATTTTTGTGCTCATTTCTGCTTTTTTAAATCTAATTCAGCAAATATGTGTTCTTTCTGTTAGTTCTGCTAACTTAGGCTTGTTATTCAATTTCAGCTATATTTCAGCATGTTTTTAGCTAATTTCAGCTGTTTTTCAGCAAATTCTTCAGCAATAGGCATTCACACTGCGTTTTCACAGGAAATGCAATTTCTTTAGTTTCTAATAATTCACAATATAAATCCTTTCAATACCTAAGAAGTACACTCGTATGAAGGTACAGATACTCATATGCTTTGTGGTTCTGACTCTGAGAAATATCTGGCTACTGAACACTGAGGACAAACTATTCTTACTAACACTTGCAAAACAAATGTGCTCAAATCTTTGCTATTTTGAAATATGCAATTGTTTAAAAAACAATCACGAATGAGACAGTAATTGGCACAAGAAGAAAAATCAGTGCCATTGTACTTTTCAGCTGAAACAGAAATGATTCACGCTGCCAGCACAGCAGAGACAGCAGCAGGCTGATGAGACGCTCGGCAGCTCGACTCGTGAATAAACTTATATCTGAAAAAAAAAAAAAAAAAGCATTCACACAAACACATAAAACTCTGGGGTCTTATTCCCCTTGCTTTTCCTTTCTGAGTATACCTGATGAGTAAAAACCTGATTGATTTGCTCACTTGCGCTCCCTTATCTTACTCTCATCTTGGCTGATCTGGCCTCAGAGGAGCAAGTCTCGTAAAGAGTCTGAGCAGAGGCAACCTGCAGGTTTCTATGGAGATGTCACGAGTCTCGCAGCGGAACGCCTTCTGCCGAAGTGATGCATGAAAAACATTAATTCATCTCTCTCATAAACAAGAACGACTGCGGCTCCCTGACTACAGTCACTAATAACATCTAGAAGAACAGTGACGATGTATCATCCAGTGGCTTTATTCAGCTTCAGCACAGCACAAATCCAGCCTGAATCCATCGTTTAAAGCAGAAACAGAGTAATAAACACATTTCTACCTGGACTAACTTAAAATGACACGTGCACTGACAGTCATTCAACACCTTGAGTGAAGCCCTAATCCCTGCAGCTTGAAGGAAGCAGCCTCGCTGATAAAAGATCGACTGAGCACTCCAATTAAGTCCTGCAACAGCAAAGGAAAAGGACGCAGAAAGAAAGCTTCAAACACCGACATCCACCTTTCATTACTCAACCTTTCTGTGGCCACAGAGGAATGAGCAGAAGAACGAAAAAAGAGCTCATTTGTGTCTGTTAATTATGCAAATTAGGTTGACTTCATGTTGAAAAGTCCAAGATTTATCTTTTATTTTTAACTG